ACCCATGAGCCATGTATGGTTCCCATGAGTCATGTATGGGTACCCATGAGCCATGTATGGGTACCCATGAGCCATGTATGGTACCCATGAGCCATGTATGGGTACGCATGAGCCATGTATGGTACCCATGAGCCATGTATGGGTACCCATGAGCCATGTATGGGTACCCATGATCCATGTATGGTACCCATGAGCCATGTATGGGTACCCATGAGCCATGTATGGGTACGCATGAGCCATGTATGAGTACGCATGAGCTATGTATGGGTACCCAAGAGCCATGTATGGGTACCCATGAGCCATGTATGGGTACCCATGAGCCATGTATGGGTACCCATGAGCCATGTATGGGTACCCATGATCCATATATGGTACCCATGAGCCATGTATGGGTACCCTTGAGCCATGTATGGTACCCATGAGTCATGTATGGGTACCCATGAGCCATGTATGGGTACCCATGAGCCATGTATGGTACCCATGAGCCATGTATGGGTACGCATGAGCCATGTATGGTACCCATGAGCCATAAATGGGTACCCATGAGCCATGTATGGTACCCATGAGCCATGTAGGGTACCCATGGGCCATAAATGGGTACCCATGAGCCATATATGGTACCCATGAGCCATGTATGGGTACCCATGAGCCATGTATGGTTCCCATGAGTCATGTATGGGTACCCATGAGCCATGTATGGGTACCCATGAGCCATGTATGGTACCCATGAGCCATGTATGGGTACGCATGAGCCATGTATGGTACCCATGAGCCATAAATGGGTACCCATGAGCCATGTATGGTACCCATGAGCCATGTAGGGTACGCATGGGCCATAAATGGGTACCCATGAGCCATGTATGTTACCCATGAGCCATGTATGGTACCCATGAGCCATGTATGGGTACCCATGAGGCATGTATGGGTACCCATGAGCCATGTATGGGTACCCATGAGCCATGTATGGGTACCCATGAGCCATGCACGGGTACCCATGAGCCATGTATGGGTACCATGGGTACCCACGAGCCATGTATGGGTACCCATGAGCCATGTATGGGTACGCATGAGCCATGTATGGGTACGCATGAGCCATGTATGGGTACCCAAGAGCCATGTATGGGTACCCATGAGCCATGTATGGGTACCCATGAGCCATGTATGGGTACCCATGAGCCATGTATGGGTACCATGGGTACCCACGAGCCATGTATGGGTACCCATGAGCCATTTATGGTACCCATGAGCCATGTATGGGTACCCATGAGCCATGGATGGTACCCATGAGCCATGTATGGGTACCCATGAGCCATGTATGGTACCTATGATCCATACATGAGTACCCAGGAGCCATGTATGGGTACCCATGAGCCATGTCTGGTACTTATGAGCCGTGTATGGGTACCCATGAGCCATGTATGGGTACTCATGAGCCATGTATAGGTACCCATGAGCCATCTATGGGTACTCATGAGCCATGTATGGGTACCCATGAGCCATGTATGGGTACCCATGAGCCATGTATGGGTACGCATGAGCCATGTATGGGTACTCATAAGCCATGTATGGGTACCCATGAGCCATGTATGGGTACCCATGAGCCATGTATGGGTACCCATGAGCCATGTATGGTACCCATGAGCCATGTATGGGTACCCATGAGCCATGTATGGTACCCATGATCCATGTATGGGTACCCATGAGCCATGTATGGGTACCCATGAGCCATGTATGGGTACCCATGAGCCATGTATGGGTACCCATGAGCCATGTATGGGTACCCATGAGCCATGTATGGTACCCATGAGCCATGTATGGGTACCCATGAGCCATGTATGGTACCCATGAGCCATATATGGTACCCATGAGCCATGTATGGTACCCATGAGCCATGTATGGTACCCATGAGCCATGTATGGTACCCATGAGCCATGTATGGTACCCATGAGCCATGTATGGGTACCCATGAACCATGTATGGGTACCCATGAGCCATGTATGGTACCCATGAACCATGTATGGTACCCACGAGCCATGTATGGTACCCATGAACCATGTATGGGTACCCATGAGCCATGTATGGGTACCCATGAGCCATGTATTGGTACCCATGATCCATGTATGGTACCCATGAGCCATGTATGGGTACCCATGAGCCATGTATGGGTACCCTTGAGCCATAAATGGGTACCCATGAGCCACATATGGTACCCATGAGCCATAAATGGGTACCCATGAGCCTTGTATGGTACCCATAAGCCGCGTATGGTACCCATGAGCCATGTATGGGTACCCATGAGCCATGTATGGGTACCCATGATCCATGTATGGTACCCATGAGCCATGTATGGGTACCCATGAGCCATGTATGGTACCCATGAGCCATATATGGTACCCATGAGCCATGTATGGTACCCATGAGCCATGTATGGTACCCATGAGCCATGTATGGGTACCCATGAGCCATGTATGGGTACCCATGATCCATGTATGGTACCCATGAGCCATGTATGGTACCCATGAGCCATGTATGGGTACCCATGAGCCATGTATGGGTACGCATGAGCCATGTATGAGTACGCATGAGCTATGTATGGGTACCCAAGAGCCATGTATGGGTACCCATGAGCCATGTATGGGTACCCATGAGCCATGTATGGGTACCCATGAGCCATGTATGGGTACCCATGATCCATATATGGTACCCATGAGCCATGTATGGGTACCCATGAGCCATGTATGGGTACCCATGAGCCATGTATGGGTACCCATGAGCCATGTATGGGTACCATGGATACCCATGAGCCATGTATGGGTACCCATGAGCCATGTTTGGCTACATATGAGCCATGTGTGGTACCCATGAGCCATGTATGGGTACCCATGAGCCATGTATGGGTATCCATGAGCCATGTATGGTACCCATGAGCCATGTATGGGTACCCATGAGCCATGTATGGGTACCCATGAGTCATGTATGGTACCCATGAGCCATGTATGGGTATCCATGAGCATGTATGGGTACCCATGAGCCATGTATGGGTACCCATGAGCCATGTATGGTACCCATGAGCCATGTATGGGTACCCTTGAGCCATGTATGGGTACCCATGACCCATGTATGGGTACCCATGAGCCATGTATGGGTACCCATGAGCCGGTATATAGAGGGAAATGATGGGATACAGGAGCCTAGCTCAGGATGACGTTCCCCCGTTCCTTGTCCCCCATGTGGGCCATCAGATATTCAACCAGCTGAACTCGCGCAAGCTGGAGGAGTGGAACGTGTTTGAGGGGCTGCTGGTCGGCTCAAGGCAGACGCACCTCCTCTCCTCTCCCCCATCCCTCTGCCCTTACGTCGCCCCCTCTCTCTCCTCCGCCCACCAGATATTCAACCAGCTGAACTCGCGCAAGCTGGAGGAGTGGAACGTGTTTAAGGGGCTTCTGGTCAACCACCTCTTCATCCTCATCGTCTCCATGGAACTCTCCGTGCAGGTCAGCTCAGGTCAACGCAGGTCAATGCAGGTGAGTGCAGGTCATCTCTGGTCAATGCTGGTCAACCGCCTCTTCATCCTCATCGTCTCCATCGAGCTCTCCGTGCAGGTCAGCGATGGTCAATGCTGCTAGTCAACCCTGGTCAGTGCTTGCTGGTCAATACAGGTTAATGGTAGCTGGTCAGTGTCAACCAAAATTCTAGTCGGTGCAATCAGGAATGGTAGATGTTTTTTGCTGCTGCATTGGTGAAACGTTGCTGTTGCTCTGGGGCAGCTCACGTATCATGTGCGCCTCACATCGCATGTGCCTCTTACTACTACCCACTTTCCCTCTCTCTTGCACTACACTGCAATCCCGAGGTGCTGCTAGTGGAGCTGCTGGGCAAGTTCGCAGGCTGTGTGCGCCTGACGCTGCCGCAGTGGGCTCTGTGCTTCCTGCTGGGGTTTGGTTGCGTGCCCTTCGGCATGCTCTCCAAGCTCATCCCCCTGCCAGATACTGCTGACACTGTATGCACGGTACATGCGCATGATTGGTAAGCTTGCAATCCCGGGTTGTGTGCGCCTAACGCTGCTGCAGTGGGCGCTCTGCTTCCTGCTGGGGTTTGGCTGTGTGCCCTTCGGCATGCTCTCCAAGCTCAACCCCCTGCCAGGTACTGCTGGCACTGTATGCACGGTACATGCGCATGCTTGGTAAGCTTGCAATCCCGGGTTGTGTGCGCCTGACGCTGCAGCAGTGGGCGCTCTGCTTCCTGCTGGGGTTTGGCTGTGTGCCCTTCGACATGCTCTCCAAGCTCATCCCCCTGCCAGGTACTGCTTTGCATTTTGTGCTTACTGGTACACTTGATTGGATCTTCATTCTTGGTACACTGCCATGTTTTGTACACTGTCTCCATTTGTGTATTTCTGAAAATGATATGGACTGTTTTCCCCCTCATCATTCTATGAGCAGGAAAACGCCACGCTCGGAAGAAGATTCTTTTTGGCCGGAATGCCAACCAGGGCTTCGAGCGCCTCGACGAAGCCCAATGATTAAAGAATGCTCTTTAGGGTTTATCGGAAAATATTGGTTGGTCCCACCACAATGGAGGCTTCAAATGGCCAAGCCTCCTGCGTCCAAATTTTGAAAATACCGGGGCATGGTTTTATTGGCTTACAAAAATTCCATGAAACACGGAAAATTTTATCTATAGGGGAAATAAGTCACTAGAGTTCAATTTGTCTGGATTACACAACTGAAAATTGCTGACTAGTACCGTATGTGAAATCGTAATTGAGATTGACATAACGCGGTAAGAGCAAACTTGCAGGAGCGAGGATGGCTGGCTAAGAGCTCGCTAGTCATTGCTCACGCCATCTCAAATTCCTCTCGCAATTCACGCCATCGAACTGCTCTGCCAATTGCTCTCTTGCAATTTTATTCATTATAGTGGCTAATCCGCTTACCTGCGCGATTCTCACCCTTTTTCGTTCGTCCTCACATGTGACGCATCGTGCGCGATTCGCCGCGATGTCCGCAGCAGCGGCGGGTCGCACGGTGTGGTTCGACGCGCACTGCCATCTGCAGGACCCGCGCATTGCCGCGCGCGCCGCGCACATCGTGGGCGGCGCGGCCGACGCGGGCGTCCAATGGATGGTGTGCAACGGCACGCATGAGGTCAGCAGACGTGATGACGTCAGAATTTTCAGGAATCATGGCAGCAGTAGCATTTAACACGCCCTCGCCTCCCCTTCCCATGCCCAATGCTTCCCCCATGCACGTTCGGGCATTAGGGGGACTGGGAAGTGGTGGCCGCCATTGCTGCCGCCCACCCTTGCGTCATCCCATCCTTCGGCCTGCACCCATGGTATGTGAATGTACGTGCATGGCACATGACAGATGGCTCATGATGCATGACTCATGGCGCATGGCGCATGACAGATGGCTTATGATGCATGAATCATGGCGCATGGAGCATGACCTGAAACGGTTACCACGTGATGATGCACGCACATAATACATGCCCCGCACCACACGGCATGCATGCCCCCATGCCCGCCCCATGCCCTCATGCCCGCCTTATGCCCCCATGCCCACCCCATGCCCGCATGCCTCAACCATTGCCTCTCCATGCCCCTATGGTCCCCAATACCCCCCATGCCCCCATATCCCCATGCCCCCCCCGTCCCCCCCCCCACGGCCCCACGCCCCCATGCGTCCAGGTACGTGCACTCTCGGTCGACCCAGTGGCTGCAGCATCTGGAGGAGCGGTTCTCAGCCCTGCCATGCCCCCACAGCCCCACGCTGCCATGACCCATGCACCCACGCCCCCCCCGTGCCCCCCCCCCCACGCCCCCACGCCCCCATGCACCCATGCCATGCGTGCAGGTACATTGACTCTCGGTCGCCCGAGTGGCTGCAGCATCTGGAGGAGCGGCCATGTATGGGTACCCATGAGCCATGTTTGGGTACCCATGAGCCATGTATGGTACCCATGAGCCATGTATGGGTACCCATGAGCCATGTATGTGTATCCATGAGCCATGAATGGTACCCATGAGCCATGTATAGGTACCCATGAGCCATGTATGGGGTACCCATGAGCCATGTATGGGTACCCATGAGCCATGTATGGTACCCATGAGCCATGTATGGGTACCCATGAGCCATGTATGTGTACCCATGAGCCATGTATGTGTACCCATGAGCCATGTATGGTACCCATGAGCCATGTATGGGTACCCATGAGCCATGAATGGGTACCCATGAGCAATGTATGGTACCCATTGCCATGTATGGGTAACCATGAGCATGTATGGGTACCCATGAGCCATGTATGGTACCCATGAGCCATCTATGGTACCCATGAGCCATGTATGGTACCCATGAGCCATGTATGGTACCCATGAGCCATGTATGAGTACCCATGAGCCATGTATGAGTACCCATGAGCCATGTATGGGTACCTATGGGCCATGTATGGTTCCCATGAGCCATGTACAGGTACCCATGAGCCATGTACAGGTACCCATGAGCCATGTATGGGTACCCATGAACCATGTATGGGTACCCATGAGCCATGTATGGGTGCCCAAGAGCCATTTATGGGTACCCATGAGCCATGTATGGGTACCCACGAGCCATGTATGGAAACCCATGAGCCATGTATGGGTACGCATGAGCCATGTATGGTTACCCATGAGCCATGTATGGGTACCCATGAGCCATGTATAGGTACCCATGAGCCATGTATGGTACCCATGAGCCATGAATGGGTACCCATGAGCCATGTATGGGTACCCATGAGCCATGTATGGTACCCATGAGCCATGTATGGGTACCCATGAGCCATGTATGGTACCCATGAGACATGTATGGGTACCCATGAGCCATGTATGGTACCCATGAGCCATAAATGGGTACCCACGAGCCATGTATGGCACCCATGAACCATGTATGGGTACCCATGAGCTATGTATGGGTACCCATGAGCCATGTATGGTACCCATGAGCCATGTATGGGTACCCATGAGCCATATATGGTACCCACGAGCCATAAATGGGTACCCATGAGCCATGTACGGTACCCATGAGCCATGTATGGTACCCATGAGCCATGTATGGGTACCCATGAGCCATGTATGGGTACCTATGATCCATGTATGATACCCATGAGTCATGTATGGTACCCATGAGCCATGTATGGGTACCCATGAGCCATGTATGGTACCTATGAGCCATGTATGGGTACCCATGAGCCATGTATGGTACCCATGAGCCATGAATGGGTACCCATGAGCCATGTATGGTACCCATGAGCCATAAATGGGTACCCACGAACCATGTATGGTACCCACGAACCATGTATGGTACCCATGAGCCATGTATGGTACCCATGAGCCATGTATGGTACCCATGACCCATGTATGGGTACGCATGAGCCATGTATGGGTACCCATGAGCCATGTATGAGTACCCATGAGCCATGTATGGGTACCCATGATCCATGTATGGGTACCCATGAGCCATATCTGGGTACCCATGAGCCATGTATGGTACCCATGAGCCATGTATGGGTACGTCTAAGCCATGTATGGGTACCCATGAGCCATGTATGAGTACCCATGAGCCATGTATGGCTACACATAAGCCATGTATGGTACCCATGAGCCATGTATGGGTACCCATGAGCCATGTATGGGTACTCATGAGCCATGTATGGTACCCATGAGCCATGTATGGAGACCCATGAGCCATGTATGGGTACGCATGAGCCATGTATGGTACCCATGAGCCATAAATGGGTACCCATGAGCCATGTATGGTACCCATGAGCCATGTAGGGTACCCATGGGCCATAAATGGGTACCCATGAGCCATGTATGGTACCCATGAGCCATGTATGGGTACCCATGAGCCATGTATGGGTACCCATGTGCCATGTATGGGTACCCATGAGCCATGTATGGTACCCATGAGCCATGTATGGGTACCCATGAGCCATATATAGGTACCCATGAGCCATGTATGGGTACCCATGAGCCATGTATGGGTACCCATGAGCCATGTATGGGTACCCATGTGCCATGTATGGTACTCATGAGCCATGTATGGGTACCCATGGGCCATGTATGGGTACCCATGTGCCATGTATGGGTACCCATGAGCCATGTATGGGTACCCATGAGCCATATATGGGTACCATGAGCCATGTGTGTTACCCACGAGCCATGTATGGTACCCAGGAGCCATGTATGGTACCCATGGGCCATGTATGGGTACCCATGAGCCATGTATGGGTACCCATGAGCCATGTATGGGTACCCATGAGCCATGTATGGCTACCCATGAGCCATGTATAGGTACCCATGAGCCATGTATGGTACCCATGAGCCATGTATGGGTACCCATGAGCCATGTATGGGTACCCATGAGCCATGTATGGTACCCATGAGCCATGTATGGGTACCCATGAGCCATGTATGGTACCCATGAGCCATCAATGGGTACCCATGAGCCATGTATGGTACCCATGAGCCATAAATGGGTACCCACGAACCATGTATGGTACCCATGAACCATGTATGGTACCCATGAGCCATGTATGGTACCCATGAGCCATGTATGGTACCCATGAGCCATGTATGGGTACGCATGAGCCATGTATGGGTACCCATGAGCCATGTATGAGTACCCATGAGCCATGTATGGCTACACATGAGCCATGTATGGTACCCATGAGCCATGTATGGGTACCCATGAGCCATGTATGGGTACTCATGAGCCATGTATGGTACCCATGAGCCATGAATGGAGACCCATGAGCCATGTATGGGTACGCATGAGCCATGTATGGTACCCATGAGCCATAAATGGGTACCCATGAGCAATGTATGGTACCCATGAGCCATGTAGGGTACCCATGGGCCATAAATGGGTACCCATGAGCCATGTATGGTACCCATGAGCCATGTATGGTACCCATGAGCCATGTATGGGTACCCATGAGCCATGTATGGGTACCCATGAGCCATGTATGGGTACCCATGAGCCATGTATGGGTACGCATGAGCCATATATGGGTACGCATGAGCCATGTATGGGTACCCATGAGCCATGTATGGGTACTCATGAGCCATGTATGGGTACCGATGAGCCATGTATGGGTACCCATGAGTCATGTATGGGTACCCATGATCCATGTATGGTACCCATGAGCCATGTATGGGTACCCATGAGCCATGTATGGTACCCATGAGTCATGTATGGGTACCCATGAGCCATGTATGGGTACCCATGAGCCATGTATGGGTACCCATGATCCATGTATGGTACCCATGAGCCATGTATGGGTACCCATGAGCCATGTATGGGTACCCATGAGCCATGTATGGGTATCTTTGAGCCATGTATGGGTACCCATGAGCCATGTATGGGTACCCATGAGCCATGTATGGGTACCCATGAGCCATGTATGGTACCCATGAGCCATGTATGGGTACCCAAGAGCCATCTATGGGTACCCATGAGCCATGTATGGGTACCCATGAGCCATGTATGGGTACCCATGAGCCATATATGGGTACCCATGAGCCATGTATGGGAACCCATGAGCCATGTATGGGTACCCATAAGCCATGTATGGGTACCCATGAGCCATGTATGGCACCCATGAGCCATGTATGGGTACCCATGAGCCATCAATGGGTACCCATGAGCCATGTATGGTACCCATGAGCCATAAATGGGTACCCACGAACCATGTATGGTACCCATGAACCATGTATGGTACCCATGAGCCATGTATGGTACCCATGAGCCATGTATGGTACCCATGAGCCATAAATGGGTACCCATGAGCCATGTATGGGTACCCATGAGCCATGTATGAGTACCCATGAGCCATGTATGGCTACACATGAGCCATGTATGGTACCCATGAGCCATGTATGGGTACCCATGAGCCATGTATGGGTACTCATGAGCCATGTATGGTACCCATGAGCCATGTATGGAGACCCATGAGCCATGTATGGGTACGCATGAGCCATGTATGGTACCCATGAGCCATAAATGGGTACCCATGAGCCATGTATGGTACCCATGAGCCATGTAGGGTACCCATGGGCCATAAATGGGTACCCATGAGCCATGTATGGTACCCATGAGCCATGTATGGTACCCATGAGCCATGTTTGGGTACCCATGAGCTATGTATGGGTACCCATGATCCATGTATGGTACCCATGAGCCATGTATGGTACCCATGAGCCATGTATGGGTACCCATGAGCCATGTATGGGTACCCATGAGCCATGTATGGGTACCCATGAGCCATGTATGGGTACGCATGAGCCATATATGGGTACGCATGAGCCATGTATGGGTACCCATGAGCCATGTATGGGTACTCATGAGCCATGTATGGGTACCGATGAGCCATGTATGGGTACCCATGAGTCATGTATGGGTACCCATGATCCATGTATGGTACCCATGAGCCATGTATGGGTACCCATGAGCCATGTATGGTACCCATGAGTCATGTATGGGTACCCATGAGCCATGTATGGGTACCCATGAGCCATGTATGGGTACCCATGAGCCATGTATGGGTACCCATGAGCCATGAATGGGTACCCATGAGCCATGTATGGGTACCCATGAGCCATGTATGGTACCCATGAGCCATGTATGGGTACCCATGTTCCATGTATGGTACCCATGAGCCATGTATGGGTACCCATGAGCCATGTATGGGTACCCATGAGCCATAAATGGGAACCCATGAGCCATGTATGGTACCCATGAGC